ACTACTTTTCACACATTTCCACCGAATAAAGTGCTTACATTCGTTGTGTTTTGTATAGAAAAAACCTTATAAAGCAACTTTTTCGTTACCAGCTATTTTTATTCGATTTTAATATTTCCATTACTTGTAACAACTAACAACGAATTGCATCATTACATGTATTACAACGATGGAACACAGACTAGGTACCTAATAACGTAAAAACAGTAAACATATCAATATTTTCAAATTTATCGATCGACAAACTTTAAATTTTGTTGTTTTTATAATCATAAGATAATAGATACCGCTTGTACACATAAGTAATGGTTTTTTTTCGAACTTACCTTAACTATTAGATAAATAAAAATATTATTTATATAATATTTATTTCGTAGTTGAACGTAATTGAACACCATCGTAACTTTATTTTTTGTGAACTATTGGGCCTTAATGAGAAAAACTCTTGTGAAAGTAATAATTACTAATTACTCTAATAATTAGTTTCAAAAAAAAATTAAAGAACAATTGATCATAGAGTAATAATTACCCTATGTTATAGGTACAATTTTTTTGTTATTAGATTTTATTCACTAGGACGTTTTTTTCGTTTACGGTTTACCGCCCAAACACTCCAAACATCAAGGTGCAATCGGTGCATTATTTTTAGCAGATTTTGAGATTTCTAGATCGTGCACCACCCTAGTCCCTTCTATGCAACGAGGCAAGAAATGAATACGGTGCTCCGATTGGTCCCGCATAAATCAGTGTGACCACATATGCTAACGCTTGGATATTATTTAGGCATCCCTATTTCCCAACTTCATTTTTTCGTTTATTCATTGAGAAAAGAGTCACAAAATGGTCGCATACTCGCATAGCGTTATGTAGACTGTAGACGTAGAGCCATGGTTATTGGTTTGGTTATGACGTCTGAATAATTCGGAGTTCAGACGTTTGAATACTTTTGGAAATGTACAGCCAGTTACGAACTACGAAGCCGTTCATTTATTGTAAGTACTTAAAATAATAAATATAATAATATTGGGTATAATTGCAGTTTAGTTCCCCTTCGCCATTTTGAATTTTTTTTTATCGAAACTTATGTAGGTAAGTTATCGAGTTAAGAACGATGGTGCAATCATTTGTCGCTCACACTTAGTTTCGAAGTTATGGCCTTCCAAAGTTTTCGATTTTACGTTTATACACATGCCCTCAACACTACTATAATGACGCGTGGAGGCCCTCGAGTTTGGCGACCGTAGCCGATAGGTGAGGGAGCCACTATATACTTATTTTATTTTAACTGGCCATCGAGTCCACTTGGGGAGGTGTTGCATAGCAAATCGAAGGATATTTTCGTTTTGATTGTCCGAGCGATCGCAGTGAGCGATAAGGGTGCTCAGCGACTCAGTGCAACAAAAATGGTAGTAGGTAGTCAGTAAAACAATATAGTAGTGTTGCGGGCATGCTTATAAACGTAAAATAGAAAACTTTGGAAAGCCATTACTACGAATTAGTGTGAGCGACAAATTCTGATAGCACAATCGTTCTTAATTCGATGAGTTACATAAGTTTCGATTAAAAAAATTCAAAATGGCGAGGGGGAACTAAACTGCAATTGTTCCTAATATTGTAACGCCTATGATATTGATAAATACTTAATAGTAGATACATTGAATTTTCATTTCCAGTGGCCGGAAGTAGTTCACTAATCGTAGCGTCGCTACAATACACCTAAAAACCTAATGTGGAATGTTTGAAATAGATCACTAATAATTTATTAGATAAAGATAAATGTAACAGTACTAAATTGTGTGTAGATAAAGATAAAAATAATTACACTAAATTTTATCTAGATAAATTTCAGATAATTTCATGTTTAATTTTGCAAATATTCAGTGAAATAGGTATTCATTTTTAAAAGAATATTTAATTTAAAACATTAAAAATAAAATAGTTTATTTTTTATTACATAATATCATAATATTACCTACATAATAAGTCATTATCTGACTTAATTTAATAATAATACAAAGAAGCTACTAACTAATATTTAAAAGAATAATAATAATAAATGCTTTTAAAATAATAATAATATTCAAACCATGTTTGATCTACAACATAAAATTATTTTTAAAGTTCTATCATTTAACCTATTTCGCCTAGGTATTAAAACTTGTATTTCCTTACTAAATAACCTCTCAACTGGTGCTGAGGACGGAATTGTAGAATAATATTTTAGGAATACCTCTAATAATGACTCAGTCCTGCCCTGGACTGGTGGCCGTAAAATTATATTGTCATCAGTTTTGACATGCTGATACAGTATCAGTAAATAAGTAAATTGGTCACTGTGTATTATAAATAAAAATATTGATTTTGACCTAATATTTTATTCTAAATACTTTTAAAGTTTTAACTTTTGTCAACAGAATTCCTGTACTTTAAAGATGTCGAAAAATCCATTTGTGAAACGAAAAAAGATCTGAGTTCCAACCATCAAACCTAAAGAGAAATAATATTTTTCTACGTACAATTGTACGGTATGATGAATCGCACAGTGATCATGCTACCAAATTTGTATGCAAAGTGTGCTTGAAATGCGTATTGAGAGAAGAGGACAAACGTCTGACCAATTGCAGCAGCCAATACAACCGAGCTATACCCCCCAAACTAACGTAAGAGTAATAGTTCAGTCTTATTTTTATATTAATTAATATCAAACATAATGTAAAAAGTTAATTTATTTTTATTTTGTTCAGAAATGAAGATACTCGTTACATATGTCAGTAAAGTAACAAAGGTGCTAAAGAAGAACCTATAATATTATGAAAATTCACCCAGCAGAACAATCGGATAATGAAGTTGAAGATGGTACTGAAATAACAGAACATACAAATGACGGTAACTATAAACTTGAGAAGCAAAATCCATTTAAAAACATTTGATTGATTTAATTTTAGTTTATTCGTATTTTTTTTTATTTTATTTTAGATATTATTTTTTTGGATAATTCCTTACAGCCTGCAGTTGTTTAATTCTAAATAATTCATAGTAATTTGTGAATTGTATCTATATATTTAACTTTGAATTATGTTATGAATTGATTCAATTATTTTAAACTTTCTTTTTTATAGAAGCACTTGAACAACATGAAAACTCATCTAGCAGTCGAGACTCAGAAACCTTAAACTAATGAAAAAGTAATAGTTCATTCTATTATTAGTAAGTATTTTATTTTTGACATATACATTTTTAACAAATATATATATTTAAAAAAAAAAACCTTTGCCATGGTATAAATATATCAATAAAATGGAAATTATGTAATTGTCTATGATAAAATTTCAATAGTTATTATAGTATTAATGGACTTAATGGAATAGTATTAACTAAAGTTCTCAAGTTTGTCGTTATCGTCATTTGCATGTTTTGTTATTTCAGTACCATCTTCAACTTCATTATCGGATTTTCCTGCTGGGTGAATTTTCATCATATTATAGGTTCTTCTTTTGCGTAACACGCCTTTAAAATAAATTGTTACTATACTGACATATGTAACGAGTATCTTCATTTCTGAACAAAATAAAAATAAGACTAAACTATTCCTCGTTCGTTAGTTCGGGGGGTTTAGCTCGGTTGTACTTATTTACTGATACTGTATCAGCATGTCAAAACCGATGACAATATAATTTTACGGCCACCCGTCCAGGGCAGGACTGAGTAATTATTAGAGGTAGGTATTCCTAAAATATAATTCTATAATTCCGTCCTCAGCACCAGTTGAGAGGTTATTTAGTAAGGCAATACATGTATTAATACCTACGCGTATTAGGTTAAATGATAGAACTTTAAAAATAATATTATGTTGTAGATCAAACATGGTTTGCATATTATTATTATTTTAAAAGCATATTTATTATTTTTTTTTTAATGTCAGCTAGAAGCTTCTTTGTATTATTATTAAACTAAGTCAGATAATGACTGATGTTATGTATTAAAAAATAAACTATTTAATTTTTAATGTTTTAAATTATGTATTTTTTTAAAAATAAATACCTATATCACTGAATATTTGCAAAATTAAGAATGAAATTATCTGAAATTTATCTAGATAAAAATGTATTAATTTTTAGACTATATCTAGATAAAATGTAGTTTAATTTTTTTATCTTTATCTAGATGTTATTTAGTAAGGAAATACATGTATTAATACCTATGCTTAATAGGTTAAATTATAGAACTTTAAAAATAATTTTATGTTGTAGATCAAACATTGTTTGAATATTATTATTATTTTAAAAGCATTTTTTATTATTATTCTTTTAAATGCTAGCTAGTAGCTTTTTTGTATTATTATTAAATTAAATCAGAGAATGATTTTTGATATTTGTATTTAAAAAATAAACTATTTCATTTTTAATGTTTTAAATTATGTATTTTTTTAAAAATAAATACCTATATCACTGAATATTTGCAAAGTTAAGAATGAAATTATCTGAAATTTATCAGGATAAAAATGTATTAGTTTTTAGACTCTATCTAGATAAAATGTAGTTTAATTATTTTTATCTTTATCTAGATGTTATTTAGTAAGGAAATACATATATTAATACCTACTCGTAATAGGTTAAATGATAGAACTTAAAAATAATTTTATGTTGTAGATCAAACATTGTTTGAATATTATTATTATTTTAAAAGCATTTTTTATTATTATTCTTTTAAATGCTAGCTAGTAGCTTTTTTGTATTATTATTAAATTAAATCAGAGAATGATTTTTGATATTATGTATTTAAAAAATAAACTATTTCATTTTTAATGTTTTAAATTATGTATTTTTTTAAAAATAAATACCTATATCACTGAATATTTAAAAATTTACAAACACATTTAATTTTACGTCAGAGCAACTGTTGATCAACGAGATTCTCTCATGAAAATCGATAACAAACATTATCATCGGTATACTTACAAATTGGTTAAAAATAATAATTTTCCGGAATTCCACAAAATTATGTTACTTTCGACAGGAATTGTAGGAAATGAACAAATTAATTGTTATGAAGCACTAGAAGTGGGCCAACAGACAATGAAAAATGTTATAGCTGATAATTTTAATGATATCATGATACAACGATCAAATCGCGTAGTCCCTTTAGATTTTACTAAAAAACTAACGGTTTGTATTAGAGATGACATTTTTTCAATTGATCCTTTATTACTCTTCCAAAGAATAATGATAAGAGTTGAGACTGACGAAAAGCTCAAAGAATGTCTTGAATACGAGTTATCACCTATTCCACTTTCATATTATTCGACGAATCAGGTCAAATGAGAAAAACTAAAAATCGATTTTATATTAGATATGTGTTACTAACTACAACAAACACATATAATGTTCTGGACAAAAATTTTATTGCAGTAATCGATGGAGGTTTCTTATTGCATCGCGTTGTATAGCCTTCAACTTCGAATACTTCAACTTCATAGAAAATTATGTAAGCTACGTGAAGAGACACTATGGATCTAACTGTGTAGTTGTATTTGATGGACATGCAAATAACGAATTAAATATTAAAAATTCAGAAAGGCAGAGACGAAATATATGTATACGAGTACAAACATAATTTTTGAAGAGTCAATCAGGGGCGCATAAAGGGGGGGGGCAACAGTGTCATTTGCCCGGGGCAAAAGTTTTTTGGGGGCTATAAATTTTTTGTAATTTTTTTTTTGTACCTCACAGAGTCAAAAAGAAAACATACAAATTGTATGATATAATGGAAAACTCGAATTAAGAAAAAACTAATAATAATTACTGAAATTAGAAAACTTTTGTTTACAAATGGTTGCTATTGATTATAGGAGAAATAATTAGGAGAAATTAGTACTAATTATTTGGTTGTCATTGGTTAATCGTGTTTTCCAAAATCGGTGGTGTGTGGGTTACCTCACCCACACCGTACCGTCCGTCATCCCCGTGAACAACGGTTGTGAGGGATAGAAACTCACGTCCTCGGATGGACCGGTCTCTCGTAAATATTCCTCCAGTCTAATTACAAATCCGGCGTCGATCCAAATATGATAATTTTTCCATTCTACACACTCGCAACGTTACTCAATCGTCGTCAACTGTTGTAACGTTTTACCGTTTCAATACTAACTTTAACAGTTATACTACAAAATGTGGTCGTTATACTGTTAAGCAGCGAGGGTGCTTGAACCTGGTGTACGGAGAAGTGGCTTAGAGTGAAAAATACGAGAGAATACTCAAATATTGAACGACTTTTACGAAAAAATTTAATGATGACGGTGATGTATTCCAATTATAGCAAAACTGGGTCACGGAGTCGCACTCTGTTATCGGCAGTAAAGTCGCGGGACGATAGGTGAGCGTCGGGAGAGGTGGCAGTACGTTATATAACTTCCAAAAGCTTCCCAATACGGCAATACGGTATGCCCTTATCACGATTATTTTCGATAGCTGTGATTTCCCTTACGTACCAGAATACCTAATAGCTAATACCTAATACGTAATCCTAATTTGGAAATCCTACCTAACCGGAAAAACCTACTTTTGCAGGTTAAATGGTAACTCAATACTAAATAATTATAATACTTCGAGGTATATGTTAGAATGAAAAACTCTTACCTTTTCGCTGACCGGACGATTCCTCTGCAGGGAGCCCTTTGACGCGGACCCGGTTAGTAATGTAAGTTTGGATTGAGGTGTTTAAAAAGCACAGCACAAACACCTTACGTATTTCACTATATAAGTATTATATTATATTGCAAAAATACAACACATTGGTGCCGCTCGGGTGATTAGTTTTACGTCGGACGATGGATGTCTGACCGGCCATTTTCCGCTGACCTTACGTCTTAGGAGACAAGATCCCCCGTCCCACCTTGCCATGACGGACACGGTGGGAGAGTCGACGGATCACTCTGCTTGCGTCTCGTAGAAGTGGTTGGAGCAAAGAGGCGGCGTTACCTATTCAAACTGTAGCACCAGGCTGATGCCAAATTGGCGGTCATTGACCTTAACAGAATGTCCATTAATTATGCTATATAACCACAGATTTTTAATTTTTTTTTTTGGTTTTATCGAGGACCGGAGAAGGAACCAAGTTTGCCAATACTTCTCCTAGTTTGCCAATACTTCTCCTTCTATAACCACGAATATATAGGTACATCTATATATATAGGTACAACCGCTAGATGGCAGTGTTCAAATATCAAAAACATGATAACAACATTTTCATCACTCCGAGAAAATATTAAAAATACATAGTCACACATTTTTGTAGTAAGCATTTAAAGTTCGAATGTTGACCAAATTATCAAACTTCCCATTTAAAAATGATTTTGTAGTTAGAAATGTATAAAATATTCAACTCTTATATCTAAGGATTGAAAATTTAAAACAAGGTTCAATGTAAATAGGTTATAATGTTAGGTATATATAAATAATTACTTTTTTCACAATAATAATTTATATATAATAATTTTCTTATATAATGATGAATGATAATATATCATTGAATTTAAATTTAACACCATCAATTACACTATTACAGTGACCCACTTCTAACATACTGTACAGGCGTACAGCAGAGCGACAACCACTTGCCCACCTATTATATTTTTATTTTCTTTGTGTCTGCCATCACCTTTTAGGACAGTAAAAATGCTTGGATTTTCTTCGACAGTATATTTTCTGATAGGAAAGAGAAGATAGTTAGTACTTTGGGGATCAAAAATAAAAATATCCAAGTAAGTACCTACCTAGTTTTCAAAAGCGCCTTGAACTACAATAGAAAAATTAAGGAAAAAAGGGAATTGGTTTTCAACAAAATCGATTTTGGTTTTTGTTGTAACTCAAAAACAAATGACCGTAGATACATGACATGTTGATTTAATGTTTATATAAGCATTTTCTATACAACATAACATTTTCAAAAATATTGACTATTTTGCGTTTTGTGTAAGGACATTTTCAGTTTCCAATTTGTTTAGTTTTTTTTTCTATAAATGTCAACCATTGCATACAATGACTGTCTCAAGACTTCTGTAAATATAAGTATATTACATTTTTTAATGAGTCGTTTAGAAATAAAAATTATTATTGCAGCAAAGGTTTTTAATTAATGCTAATGCCTTTCATAAATCACAAGTGTCACTATTTTTAAAATGAATTATTATACCTAGGTAGGTACCTACTTTAATTAAATCGTAACATCACATCTTAACTTGATTTATTATATTATTATAATATTATGTGACTTAATGTGGTCTTTTGATATCTTACCTACCAATAATGTTACATTTGATACCTATCGATAATTTAAATTGTTTATTAATATTATGTAGGTAACGGTTTACAGTAAATTTTAATGATGATGATAATATAATATTGGTAGGTATGTTAAATTTATTGTATTATTTATAACAATATTTGTAGCAAAATTATTTTTATCAGCAAATTCTGAAACTTATAACTACCTACCTATCTTATCATAAAGATTGAATTAGATCTAGATATTTAAAATTTGAACTTCTGTTTTAGATTCTGAGTGAAACGATGAATGTACCTACCTATTGATTTTACAATGATGTGTGTTTTTTTTTTTACTTTTGTGTCTGTATACACGATAAGTAGTCGAAATAATGCTTTGATTTTCGACTTCAGTATCTTGTTCGATTGGAAAGTGAATATCGTTGGTGCATTGGGTAGGTCAAAATTTAAAATTTCCAATAGTTTTCACAAGCGCCAGGAAAAACAACATAAAAATTAAGGAAAAACGGGAATTTTTACGCAAAATCGATTTTTGACAAAATCGAATTTGGTTTTTGGTGTAACTTTTAAACAAATGACCGTAGATACATGAAATTTTCACTAGTTGTTAATATTTGCATTTTCTATACACGATAACATTTTCAAAATATTTTGATTTATTTTGAACTGTTTAGGGACATTTTCATTTTTCATTTTTTTTTAGTTTTTTTTCTAGAAATATCAATAAAATTTTATTTGTTCGTTAAAAAAACTTGAAAATTTAATAGAAGACTCCTAGTATATTGTTTCAAAGGCAGATGAAAAATATTAAAAATCGTTAGTCACAGTTTTTTTTTATAAGCATTTAAAGTTCAAAAATTGACAAAATATGGAAAAATTCACGAAAAATTAAGAGCAAATTATTTTGAGTTAAAGAATTCATATAAATTTTTCTTTTAAATCTAAGGATTTTAAAATGTAATACAAGATTCTTATAAGATTTGTCTACCTTATATCATAAAAAAAAAATCTCGTACCTAAACAAGTGCAAATTCAAATTTTTATGAGCGTTTGAAATTCAAATTTTTACAACAATTGGATATTCACTCGATTTCTCATGTAGCGATTTCCTTATTTTGTTGTTATTCAGAAAAGAATAACTATAGATACATGAAAAGTTTCACTGAATGGTTTATTATTAGCATTTCCTCTAATAACAACCATACAATTTTGACAATATTTTGACGCTTTTTTGAGCTGTTTACGAATTTTATTTTAATTTTAGTTTTTTTTTCTATGCTACAAAAGTTTTATCAAAAGTGTAAAAATTTAATACAAGGCTCCTGATATATTGTTACAATATCAATTGAAAAATATTAAAAATACATAGGCACAGTTTTTTTTTATAAGCATTTAAACATCGAATTTTGACAGAATTTTTCAAAATCTCGAAAATTATTAATCATCGTAATTAATAAATTATAAAATGTTCAGTTTTTATAGCTAAGGATTAAAAATTTAAAACAAGATTCCACGTAAGTAGTTAATTCTCTTACCAAAAAATCTAAAAAATATACAATCACAGTTTATTTTTATAGTCATTTTATGTTCAAATTTGGACGAAATTACATATTAAAAAACCTAGTTATTATTCGTGGGTACCTACTTGAAACTTCTAAAGTTTACTATTATATATCAATGATAGTATCAGGATTTGTTATTAATGTTTATGTATAACGTGTTATAAGTACCTAATGGATATTGTGATAATGTGATATGATTAATTTGGAATTTATTATAGGTCAATTTTTTTTTTTAATACCATAGATATGTATATAATTTGTCTTAAACCTAGACTGACATACCGTCTTCGCTCAGAATCGTTTTTCTTATACAATGATATATTGTATCATTGAATTCAAATTTAATACCATCCATTTTACAGTGACCCACTTGTAACCTACAGTACAGCAGAGCGACATCCACTTACCCACCTTTTTTTTTTTATGAATATCAATTTGTTGAGTAAAAATACTTGAAAAAATAATACAAGGCTCCTACTATATTGCTTCAAAGACAGATGAAAAAAATTAAAAATTGTTAGTCACAGTTTTTTTTTTAAGCATTTAAAGTTCAAAAAATGACAAAATATGGAAAAATCACGAAAATTTGCAAATTATTTCGAGTTAGAAATTCATAAAAATTTTTCTTTTTAAATCTAAGATATGAAAATGTAATACAAGGTTCCTTATAAGATTTCCTACATTTATCAAAAAAAAAAATTCTACAAGAAAGTCAAATTAAATTTTTATGAGCGTTTGAAATTCAAATTTTTACAACATTGGATATTCACTCGATTTCTCATGTGGCGATTTCCTTATTTTGTTGTAATTCAAAAACGAATTACTGTAGATACATGAAAATTTCACTGAATGTTTATATTAGCATTTCCTATACACCATACAATTACAAAATATTTTGACTCTTTTTGAGCCGTTTACGGACATTTTCAGTCTTCAATTTTTTTAGTTTTTTTTTTCTATAATTATAAATAAAGTTTTATCTGTTGGGCCAAAAAGTGTAAAAAATTAATACAAGGCTCCTGATATACCTATTGTTACAATAGCAATTGAAAAATATTAAAAATACATAGGCACAATTTTTTTTTATAAGCATTTAAATATCGCATTTTGACAAAATTTATCAAAATCTCGAAAATTATCAATCATCGTAATCAATAAATTATGAAATGTTCAGTTTTTATAGCTAAGGAAAGTTTAAAACAAGATTCCACGTAAATAGTTCATTCTGTTACCAAAAAATCTAAAAAATATATGAGCACAGTTATTTTTTACAGACATTTTAAGTTCAAATTTGGGACGAAATTACATATTAAAAAACCTAGCATACCTATTTTAGTTATTTTGTTGTGAGTGTATAATACTATTCGTGGGTATTGAAACTTCTAAAGTACCACTATATTATATATCTATGATAGTATCAAGGTTTGTTGTTGATGTACAACGCTTATAAGTACCTAATGGATATTGTGATATGATTAATTTGGAATTTATTATAGGTCAATTTTTTTTTAAATACCATAGATATGTATATAATATGTCTTAAACCTAGACTGACATACCGTCTTCGCTCAGAATCGTTTTTCTTATACAATGATATTGTATCATTGAATTCAAATTTAATAGCATCCATTATACAGTGACCCACTTGTAACCTACTGTACAGCAGAGCGACATCCACTTACCCACCTTTTTTAAATTAATTTTAGCTTCTGAGCTGGAAGATTAATGTATTGATTTTACTATGTGTGTTTTTATATTATTTTTCTTTTTTTTATGTCCGTCACCACCTTTTGGAACAGTAAAAATGCATCGATTTTCTTCAACGGCATCTTTTCTAGAAGGAAAGTGAATCTAGTTGATGCATTCAGGATGTTAATATTTAAAAATCTCAATAATTTTCAAAAGCGCAGGTTATCAAAACTAAAAATTTCCTAGTAGCTAGTTTTCAAAAGCGCCGTGAAAAACAAAATAAAAATTAAGGAATAGGTAACAGGAATTTTTACGAAAAATCGGATTTTGGTTTTTAGTGTAGATAAGTAACACTAAAACAAATGACCATAGATACATGAAATTTTCACTGAATGTTTATATTACCATTTTCTATACACAATAAGATTTCAAAATATTTTGTTTCGTTTTGAGCTGTTTAGGGACATTTCTCCTAATAATATATTGTTACAATGATAGTTAAAATTTTAAAATATACAGTCACAATTTTTTTTTATAAGCATTTTAGGTTCGAGTTTAGACAAAAGACGTAAGAATAACGAAAATGTGCAAAAGAGTTAGAAATTCCTAAAAATGTTTCTTTTAAAATCAAAGATTTGAAAATATAATACAAGATTTCTCATAAGTTTGTCTACTTTTATCAAAAAACAAATGTCTACCGGAGATTCAAAATTTTTACAACATTGGATATTCACTCGATTTAAAATGTATCTAGTGATTTTCTTATTTTGTTGTAATTCTAAAACGAATAATTGTTGACATTTTAAACTTACACCATAATATGTCCATATATTTATTTTATTATCTCCAATATTCGATAAAATGTTCAAGATATTTTGACTCATTTTGAGCTGTTCACGGGCAATTTCAAATTTCATTTTTTTTTTAGTATTTTATTCTATAAAAATGTTGATAAAATTTTATTTGTTAGGGAAGGTAAAAAAGTGTGAACATTTAATACAATGCTACTCATATATTGTTACTGTAGCAGTTGAAAAACATTAAAAATCTTTTTTATAAGCATTTATAGTTCAGAGTTTGACAAAATGCATCAAATTGAAAATTAAAAAATGATTTTGTAGTTAAAAATTGTCAGCTTTATAGTTAAGGTTTGAAAATTTATAACACTGTTAAATGTAAATAGGTTATATATAAATTTCTTTTATCACAATAATATCATCAAATATACTAATATATAATAGGCTTACTGGCTTATATATATACATCTTCTATATCATTGAATTCAAATTTAACACCATCCGTTACAATGACCCACTTGTAATATAATGTACAGCAAAGCGACAACCACTTGCCCACTTTTTTTTTAATATTATATGTTGTAGGATGTGAATAAAGTTAAACTATAATACCAAATATAATAAATACAAATTATCAAATTTTATTATTTTATTATGAATACAGTTATGTAAAATCAATAAGAATACTGTCAATAAAATATATAAATATGTAGGTAAACAATAAAATACATATCAAATGTTAAAATCCATACTTTAATATTTGATGTAATAAATGAGATTTTTGTTCTAAACTTAATCTTTTTATACATAAATATGTATATATAAGACAGCGATCCTGAAAACAATATTTTTAACTGTTAAAATCAAACAAATAAAGCACTTACATAACAAATTTCCAATAACTTCTTTTTAATATAAAAAATTCAATGATAAATTAATGTAATTAAGTATTAAGCTATATCATTTAAAAATAAGAAAAAGCTATTAATGTAATATAATGTTACATAATATAAATATTTAAAAACAAACACAAAACAATATGACTTTATTTACTTATATACCTAAGACAAACAAACACAACAATGGACTATACATTTAATAGTTAAATATAAGGAAAATGACTAAAATTATAATATTACATTCATCTAATAATATAAATATATTAACTTGGTAAGTAATTAACTTAATTTATTTAACCCTTTCACTGCTAAGTTCTTACGTAATTTATTATGTTTATCATTGCTACCAATATTAACATAGAAACATATTTACTATCATAAGATTTGTTATGTTTTTCTGTATTTTTCGGTATAACTAAAAAGTTAACACGCATAGTTTATTTAAATGGACAAAAGAACGTAATAGTATGTCCGTAGAGGACGTATATTATATTGGAACGGTATGTTTGCACGGAATTTAATAGAACATTATTATGTCCGTAGCAGTGAAAGGGTTAAGCCAATCAAAATTAAATGGCAAACATTAATAATTATATGAATCTTTAAAATTAAAAACATATATCATTGTTTAAATCAATGATGACAGCAAACATTCTTAACATACCAAAAAAAAAAAGATAGATTAAAATTAGAATTTTATTTGAAAGAATGAAACAAACATTTTTAAATAATTGATTAATGTTATAAGAATAATTGAAAGAATACTTTCAGTCATTGATTGATTAAGTTGTATAGCTAAATTTTGTTTTGGGGTATCAATGTGTTTAATAATGAACAAACTTAAGTGAAATATTCTTGGGTATTTTATCAGTCATAAGTTATTTACAAAAAATGACATACCACTTCTTTGTTACATATTTCATTGAATAAGTAAAAACCAATTGATATCTATAATTAATTTCAATAACCTAATACAATCAATTATTTATAGAACACAAAAATGGGAGTAATAATTTCATAAATGTATTCAGTTAATTTAGATACTGTAGTTTATATATAAAAAAATGCTGATGTTGCCAATAATAAGTAGATATGAACTGCAACCAGTAGACCAGAATAATATCATATTCTGTACTTATTATAGATACAACTGGATGCAAATTGTAATATTTGTAGCAATATATTAATAAAACCTTAATTTTTAATAGACCTGAGAAAGAACAATATCATAGGAACAATGATGTTTTAATGCTCTATAATTTTTTTTTTTTTTTGTGAAACCAATCATTCCTTTATTCTGTTCTGGTCTAATAAGACAACTGGATAATCGTTTCTTAGGCACGGCACATCTAAAGGTACATCACCCTGTAAATAAAAATGGTAACAGATGTAAATTTTTACTTGAATTATAAAAAATTGTAAACTTAAAACATTGGGCATTGACCATAGACTATTATAATTATAGAAATGTAATGATTTAATAATCATAAATATTAAATTAAAACCATGAAGTTCATTCTTGGTTTCATTTTCTATAATATTCATACTAACAAGTGCAAAAATAATCTGAAATTCATATGCCAAAATACTAAAATCGACATTTATACACACTCGCTTTCATAAAACACTAAATATAGTAGAAACCGCTTAGAACAATCATCAAAGTACCTAAAAAATCAAATCAATATACCCAAACTTTGTTTTATCGGGAATATTTTTAGATACTCAAAATTTTCAAAAAATGTTTATATTTGAATTTTCCATACACCTTCAAATTTTCCGTTTTCAAAATATTTTGATTCATTTTAAACTAGTTATAGGCACAAGAAGTTTTCTTTTCTAAGATGTTATTTTTTAGTTTCTTTTCAATTATCTAGATAAATAATTTTTTGCTGAAACAAAGATCTTGAAAATTGAACTACAAGGTTCCTATTAAGTTGTTATAAAAGCAGTTTAAAAATAATAAAAATATGTAGGCATGGTTTTTTTTATAAGCTTTTAAAGTTCAAATATTTACAAACTCACAGAAATTTGCAAATTGTTTTCTAGTAAAAAATGTATAAAAAGTTCAATTGCTAAGTAAAGCTAAGGATTGGAAATTTAAAAAAAGGTTTCTCATAAGTAGTTCATACTATAACCAAAATATCAAAAAAAATATAAACATAGTTTTTTTAATAGACATTTTAATTTCAAATTTAAAAGGAATTATATATTTTTTAAAAAAATAACGATTTCAGTAATTTTATTGTAATTTAAAAATCTTATTAATGGATACTTGAAACTTTTAGTATAATAAAATGTCTACTATAATATAGTATTATTATTATATTATTATATTTTATATACACAGTGATATTTAAAAATGCAATGTCTTAGGCCAAAATTAATTCAACCTACTTTATTACTAGTAGTAAATTAAATTACTTTAATAGCAATAATATCATAAAATATACTTAGAAATATAAGCTGACAGACTTAAACCTGTTTTACGTATACAATTATTTTATATCATTGAATTAAAATTTAACACATATATTACAGTGACCTCACTAGACACATACTGTACAGCAGCTAGGTTCCCCTATTTGCTCACTTTTTTTTATATTGTTTCTCTCTGTGAACATAATATTATTTATTGTATATTTTTTATTCAGATTGTAAATGTTATATTTAATTAATAATAAAAAAGTATCTTATTTATATAAATATAACTTCGAGAAAAAAAGAAGTACCGAGAATAGAAAAACTGATATAGTGCTTCATTTAATTTCACCATTTAATTTCATTTAACTTACCATTAACTATAGCTGATAGATTCTAGATAAATGATATAAAGAAACATTTCTTAAAAACTAGTCAAACTTACTTGAGGCTTTAAATGTTGGTTACTGATTCGCTTTAGAGTTAATTTTGATCCTATTTTTGTTTCAACATAAAATTCATGTGCAATATCGCCATCCTCATCTATATACATTGATCTGTGGTAAAAATAAATATATATTTATTATTTTATAAAATAGTAGTTATAATACTTAAATTATGTTATTCATTTGATTTATTCATCAGTTATTCGTAATTTAAGTGAAGATATAGTTGAAAAATACATTTCACAATAATGAAAATTGTAAAGTTGTATTTTTAACTTACCCTCTCCTGTAATATACAAATGGACTTATATTATTTTTAATGATTGCTTCGTCTGGTTGTTGGATGTCATGGTTGTCATAGTTTTTATGATGCTCGTGATACGGGGAATCATTTTCCGTTTGTGTTTTGGAATTTGGTTGAGGTGAGCTTCTAAACAACTTTGTTGTCTTGCCTCCCATTGTTTATATAGCTATTAAACTACTCAAAAACTCACTGTAAAAAATAACAATAAATTAATTTATGACAGGAATAAGATGAATATTATTATATACCTACTAGACACCTTGTAATTAAATATTACAAAATTTTATATTACTTATATAAAAAGACTTTTCTCGTTTTGAGTTTTAAAAAATGTTTGGGTATTTAAAAAAAAACAGTAAAAAGGTATAAGAAATAGACTAGCAACACAAGAGTCCATTTTCTATACAAATTTAACTAATGGTTGAATATTAGAAAAAAAATACTAAATGTTATTTATTTGTAAGTTACTTTGACTAACATCTGTTTCGTAAAATCTACCTACCTACATTGTTTTTTTTGTTTACTTTTTTACATATCTGTAAAATGTTATAAAATTATTAATTAGGTATTAATTTAAATCACGGGCTAAGATATTACCTTAGTCCGTGATTTAAGCATTACTGCATTAGACATTACGATTACACAATCAACAATGATATCTTCTAGAATATACATTATCTGTTAGTGCTATCATCACAGATATAGATAATAAACTAGATTGCTAACTAGTATAAATTGACAAGCAAGCCGGGAGACGCCGATTTTCCGCCATGTTGCTTGTGGGCTAGGGTCTTTTATCAATGCTTATCGTTGTGATAATACTGCAGATAAAATAAATGTTATTATGATAATATTATTATTATTATTATAAACCACATATTATGAAGATACCTGTATATTAGTAATTTTTTTTTCTGCCTTCTAACTGTCTGTTGCAAATTGCAATCTCTTAACTTTGTGTCGTAAAATGTCGTAAAATGTCATTGTATAGTCCAGTGGCTCTATGAATGAAATAAAAATAATATTTTATTTTGTTTCAGAAATTATGTTAGTGCTAATTTTTAGTCATTACGATTCTTATCACTTTCAACATTGGGTTTAGTAAATTGGCAATAAGCATGTTCCTGTTTAACTACGTCTACTTTAATTTTTTCTTGGGCAATAAATAAAGTAGGGACTGCTGTTTCTTTAAGCCGTTTTAGATCTGGCCGTTCTACAAAGTCATTTTCAGTGAAATGAATGTGACATATCCTGTGATATGTTGGGATAAAATTATGCCTTTTTATAGCAACTATCCACTTTTCTTTAAGTATGTTATTTCTTGGAAATCTATACATAAATGATTTGGTAAAATAGTTGTTAAGCTGTAAAATTGAATGTTTGGATGTCCATGTTAAAACTACTGATACATACTTGAAAAACACTACTTTATCCCGACCAGAACGATTAGCACATCCAAGTACACAGCAAGTTTGTGCCATTTTAAATAAAAATTTTTTTTTATACAAATAAAAAATGTAACTAAGTAAAAACTTCTAGTTTTGTCAAAACGCTAATTAAAATATCATTACATTTTAACAGCATAGGCTCTTTTGATTATTGTTTTTATTAAGATTAAAGGGTGTTGGCACAGATATAGATAATAAATAGATAGTTTATTATTATTATCTGTGGTTGGGTATCATTTATTTTTATATATCCGTGGATTTGAAATACCCGCCAAATAATAAATTAAGTATCACGTTAATCATATTATTATGATAACACTTCGTAGCCCACAACAAACATGGCGTTTTTTGGCGACAGCTGATAACACTACTTAGCAATCTAGTTTATTATCTATATCTGTGGCTATCATATTTCGCGAGGAGTATTTATCAATGTAACTGGGGGGTTCATCGATTCAAACATAGAACATTCAAAGAAACTCATTTATGTTACCAACACTGACGACTGACGTGCGAAGGGGGTGACCGATCGGCAATGACAAGCACGACTGTATACAGGGTTGGGCAGTATCTTCGATACAAGTATCTAAGATACGTATCTTAGATACATTTGTATCTTGTATCTTGTATCTCGATACAATTATGTGAAGTATCGAGTATCTTGTATCACGATACATTTTTAGTCAATGTATCGAGTATTTCATGAATTAATTTAATCGAAAGATACTCGATACATTAACGCGATACTTTGAAAAATTAATTGTTTACGATTATTTTTACTAGTCAGAAACCACTTTTGAAAAGTGACTAATGTATTATTATTACTGAAAGTGTCAATGTTTTTTATTTTATTTTTCATTCTAATTACTTAAGAGGACGTCTCACCCGGATGTGTTGTCTCAGTCTTACACACGTACGACATGGCAAATTTTCGTTTGCTAGTTTCAATAGGGTATTGTCAATTTTGATATTAGAGTGAATCAACCTACTATCAAACTTTTAGGTAACAACATTATCTGTGTTCTCTCGTTGGTTTTTTACGATATTTTAATTTTTAAGTGAGTTATGAACATTTTAGAATATGAATACTTTACATACCCATAATTCACTTAAAAATTAAAATATCGTAAAAAACCAACGAGAGAACACAGATAATGTTGTTACCTAAAAGTTTGATAATAGGTCAATTCACTCTTATATAAAAACTGACAATATCATATTGAAACTAGCCAACGAACATTTGCTATGTCGTATGTGTGTAAGACGGTGACAACACATGCGGGTGAGGCGTCCTCTTAATGAAGTGGCCATACCCACAATAATAAACATGATTTTTAAAAATCCAGTGACTAATTTTATTAAAATGTATTGAGTATCGAGTATCGAGTATCTTGTATCGCGATAGTCCAAAGCCAAGTATCGAGTATCTAGTATCGCGATACTCTAGAGCCAAGTATCGAGTATCTAGTATCTCGATACTCCAAATCCATGTATCTAGTATCTACTATCTCGATACTGATTTTTGAGTATCTTGCCCATCCCTGACTGTATAAGATATTAAGATAGAAACCGAAAGAAATTCCATCTTAAATCATGATGGGCATGATGACGAGTGACTACCACGGTTGTAGATAGAATGCTTGTGTGACGCAATAACATTGACGTGATGACAAGCATAAAATATGCAAATTGCAAAAGTTCGACCAATAATTTACCGTTCCTACTAGTGCGACCTAGTGGTACTTTTTTTAAAATCAATTTCCTTTAATAAGTTGAGTTAGTATAATATTATGAATTATGATACATCAACATCATAATATTAATAATTTATTTCGAGTTATGACAAAACATTAAATATGACCACTTGAGCGGTAAAATCGCACGAAACTTTCGACGTTTGACATTGTCTCGTACTCTCGTCACATAGACGCTACAAATTCTACCTACCATAGGAACATTGGAAGAAGGGCGTCTGCGATAATTTGTAAATAAAGAGGGGGCCTTGGGGGGAGCAAAATATTTTCACTTTTCAATTTTTAGTTTCACGATTAGTGATAGAGTTCTTATCGTTTGAATCAGTGTCGTAACCGGCCCACCATAGGAGGAGATTCGATTAAATTTTAGGGTGCTAAGCACCCTCACCAATCTACGTCTAATGTCTATGGGGTTGGAGGGTGGACTGGGGCACGTTTCCTTCCGGTAATTATGTTTATGAACATTGGTGTCGTAAAGTAACAGGTGATAAGTATTTTATTTCTACAAAAGCTCGAGAATAAAAAAATTTCTGGCCACGAAACTGCAGGGTTGTGTCATTTGTGACATGTTTTCTTTCAAATAAGTTGGGATTATAAAAATTATTTATCAATTATTTAGATAGTCAGCTGACTAGTTAGAACATAATCTTACAGATGGTAGCAATGCAGCATACATTTCAATTAATTGATATGTAATTTAAAAAATACAAATATTTCAATTTTTTTTACCAACTGGTTAGTCATTTAATAGTTGTTGATTATTTATACATTTTTTAAGATTCTATAAAATAAACTAATAACAACCAAACTATTTTAAATTAAATTAAATTTTTTTTTTTTTTTTATTATCAAAAACCAAAATAAAACTGTATATTAATTTTAAATCAGACTAAGCCCCTGAGGCCCCGACTAACGCCATAAATTATACTATATATTCTATGAACATTTAATTTATTTTATGAAAAAGTAATAACTTAGTTGGCACTATATTCTTGATCCCAACAATAAATGCCACAAATCTATAAAAGTAACATTCTTAGTTCAGGCGGTTATATTATGAAATCGAGTCACTCTGTAAAAAATTTGTTTTTTTCGTAATATTTTTTTATTAAGCACCTATACGTAAATACGTAATGGTTATGAATTGTAGTTATTGTGGTTATGAATTATAATTGACCCGGTAAAAAAGCCGAAAGGAGTCAATGCCTTACTTCCCACTGAGGAGATAAGCCCTTGCACGGGGATGACATTAATTAAACACATGGCGTGTATCGCATTTATTTGAAATGTAGTACCTACCTAATAGATAAATATATTTTATAAACATGTATAGGTGCATTTCGTATTCTAATGTATTTCTAATATAAGAGGCAATCGTAACGAGATAATTTAGTATTTGCCGGAGGAACATTGATTCTAACACAGACAGCATACAATTTTAATTTTAGAAGAGCAATATAAAAACATTAAATATAGCCTACTTCCTAATATAGCCTAGATATTTTGTCAAAGAATTCATAAATTAAAAATTTTAATCGGACATTGAGTGTATGTAATTTAATACAGTTTATAAGCTTATTGGTCTAAAACGTATGAAAAATATACATGTGCTGCAATTGCAAAATAGGACGTCGCACTCGCTGTTGTCTTCGTCTTTTACACTGTCGACATACCAAATTTTCGTTCGACAGTTTCAATTGTGTGTGGTTAGTTTTGATATTAGAGTGAATTAACCTATTATCAAACATTTAGGTAACAACATTTCTCTCGTTTTAAGATATCATAACTCACTTAAAAATTAAAATATTGTAAAAATCCAACGAGAGAACACAGATAATGTTGTTAGGTACTTAAAAGTTTGATAATAGCTGGTCAATTCACTCTAATATCAAAACTGACCACACCCTATTGAAACTATATAGCGAACGATAATTTTCTATGACGTGCGTGTGTAAGTCGAAGACAACACGTTATGCGGGTACAACGTTACAAATCCCTTCGAATAATATTTTTAGTTAGAACAAAATATTCAATGTCTATACAAAATAATTAGTTTTGGGATTTCTGTTATAGGGTTTCTGTAAGAAAACTCATGCTCAAGAATAACGTAAACGTAGTTTAGTAAATTGTAGTTTATAGGTGTTGCGTAAGTCGCAGTAATGGGTGTGTTAAATTTGGTATTCAATGATAACTATAAAAATATAAAATCATTGTATACGACAAACGATTTTGAGCGAAGACGTTAGCCTATATTATAATTTAAACTTAGAATATCTATAAAATTTTTTTTAGAAATTTTGGTTACAGTATGAACTACTTAAGAAAAACCTTATTTTAAAATTTCAATCCTTAGCAATCAAAATTAATCATTTTAGACAATTTTTAACTACAGTAGAATTTGCAAATTTTCGATATTTTGAATATAAAAGATATATTATATACAATTATTAAAAGTCCCATATCACTCTTAGTATCTCCGTGGAAAATCAGAATATTATTTTAATGTTTTTTTTTAAAAATTAACAAAATATTTTTTTAATTTCCAAGATAGCAATTTTGTTGATTGAATTTTTTAAAACAGTTTAAAAAAAAAATATTAAAATTTAATAAAAATCGACCAAGTTAGAGCTAATTATTATTTTGAATTTCTAAGAATAATAGTACTATTATTAGGTAGGTTAGGTACCTAACCTAACCTACCTATGTCATTTTTAAATGTTTAACAAACTAGGGAAAAGCAAAAAGTTATAGCTAAAGACGACAGAACAACGACTAATAAGTAATAGCTATAAAGAAAGACCACAAGTGAATAATTTTAATTATGATTTACAAAACTGAGATATACATAATTGTAAGATAAAAACATAGATCAGGGCGCCACTGCAATTTGTGCCATTTTGTAATTTTATGTTCACTTCATGATAATTAAAATACTTAAAATAGGTAACCAGTTTCACTGTTCACTGTTTCGTAAACGGTAAGACACAGCTACCTATGGGTGTTTTTATTAAAATCAAAACTTTAACTAGGTTGTAGTTTTGTCATATTGAATTAAAAAAACGATTATATTTTTTGGAATTATTATGAATTTTGATATACAAAATATCAGCTATAAAAAATTGAATTTTTTTAATCTTAAAGCTTTGACTAATAATTAGATATTAAATTGTACCTAATATCTTGTGAAGAATATACTATTATATTTTCAAATCATAGAAATATAGAAAGAAAACCCAATGAAAAATTTCAAAGGGCTCCAAGTATATTGTTTCAAAGGCA